TGTTTGTTGTTTGTTTTTTTGAGAGAGAGTTGTAGAAATGGAGGTAGCACTCACTCCATGGCTTCATGGACACACCACCACCCTGGTGACCTGATCCCGGAGGTAACCACCCAAGACAGGAGGCATTCCAGCTGTTTGGCTCACAGCACAAGACAAGATATTCAGCCACAGAGGGGCTTAGGAGTAATTCTCAGCTTTTAGGGGAGCAGTGGGGCCACACAGCCATGTGCTATCTGGAAGGGCTGCTACCGAAGCAAGGACTAGAGCCAAGGTCAGCACTAAGGGAGAGCTAGGACTGACAAGACCAACCAACAAGGAGTCTCAGTTGCAGCCCAAGGGGACACCTTCTCGGACAGTGGGACTGGGGAACTTCAGCTCACCCTTGGTGACCTGTACATGGCCATCCTTCATTTTAATCATCTCTAAAAAAAGAGCACTCATCCTTCCTGGTACCTGCTGCTAGGGATTCATACATGAATAAAGCCTAGCTCCTGTGGCCTGAGATCACGAGAACATACAAGACATTTGGTGATCCTGACAAAACCTGAGTCTAGAAACAGGGATGACCAGAGTGTTTGCATTTCTGATGACTCTGGGTTACCAAGGATTGGAACCTACACCTCCGCACCTTGGGGGCAGGAGGGGCCTTAGCTGGTCACAGCCAAGAGGGAACACAGGTCAGTTCCACCATCTACCCTGACAAGCGTGAGGAGCTCAAGGGGAGGCAGCCTTGCAGAGGGTCTCACCAGAACTGACCCGAGGGGTCCCGTGACCCTACGGACAGCTGTCAAGGCAGTTCCCCACAGCAGAGTGTGATCTTAGCCCTGCTATGGAGGAGCTTCCAAAGCCCCAGCACTCCAGCCCAGCTTAGAAGACGGGGAAGTGGTACCTGAGGCAGGAAGCCACTACAGGGCACAGGCTGCAGGTCTTTCTGCTACCTCAGGAGCTGAAAGGATACATAGGCTTGGAGGTTCAAAGAGCAATGGGCAAGGCTCTTAGGGGAGCTGTGACAGTCAACTGTGGTAGAGTAAGCAGAAGGAAGCAGGGCAGGAAAGGAGGTTCCTTCTATGCAGCCTGAGGCCAGAAGGGGGTCCCTGGAATCACTGTGAAGAAGAGAACTACTTGCCCGGGAACTGGCAGGTTGGAGCCAGAGCTGGGAACAGGCCACCCAGACCAGCTCTTAGACCGATAGCTAGGTTCCTACCGCTCCTCCCCTCAGGGGAAGGAAGCTTCCAAGGGTGGCAAAGATGGGATTCCCATGGTCCTCTGAGTGTTCCTGGGCCAGTACAGACGCCCGTCACACTCCTTAGTCAAGGGACCAAAGCATGCTCTCCTCTCCGAGTTGCTGGATGGAGCTGGGCTGATCCAGGTGAACAACCCTCTAAAGTGCTTAGCTCAGGGCCATGTTTCAGTAAGTGCATGCAATGATGGCTGCTACTGTGACCACTGTTACCACAGGGAGAAACGGCCTAGTTCCTGAAAGCCTACTGGGCTTCTTCCAGAACTTGTTTGTCTGGTGATAGGAAGACACCGCTGACATCTGGTCACAACAGCCTGGGCTGCAGGGGATGAAGTGGGATTGGAGCATTTCACCTCTGCCCCTTTCAGAGCTAGAGGTGGAGACTACCAGACCAGTGAGTCCTGCAGGGTATGTTGCCATGAATAGTTTTTAGTCATCAATGGAGTTGGGAACAGAATGCTTGCTGAGCATGGACAAAGTCATCCCTAGCTCCTCCCTAGTGGTGGTGCACACCTGTAATCCCAGCACCTGAGAGGTGGAGGCTGGATGATTTAAAAACCAAGTTTATCCCTGGTTACCTGATGAATTTAAAGCCAATCTGGGATACATGAGACTCTACTAAAAAGAGAGAGAGAGAGAGAGAGAGAGAGAGAGAGAGAGAGAGAGAGAGAGAGAGAGAGAAAAAAAAAAAAAAAAACAGAATGGCTCATGGCAAGCAGGGAGGTCATGGCAGACGACACTTAGCCTAGACTGCCACACTACTGCTGGCCATGGACCCTGAGGTCTGATACCTGCCTGATAGCAGGGCTGTCCAGGCCTTGGGGGAAAAAGATATGGATCTTGGGTCCTACTAATTGTTCTGTGGGTCAGGGCGGTCCCACAGAGGCCCGGTTATTGTCCCTTCTTTCCACAGCTTGGTAATACACTTGAAGGTTTCTGAGTCAGTTAGAGATGGCATATAATGACTGCGCCCCAGGAGCCCCACAGTGGGAGATAGTTTTCCTCCAAGGCCCTTGCCTAGCTCTCCTGCTGTTTTGGAGGTAGTTCTTTTCTGGTTAAGAACAAAGAGGTGGGACCCAGACCCGGGCCTCTGTGATGGGGTAGAGAGATGTTTGTGGTAGGTCATGTGAGAGGAAAAATCCCATGTGGGCAACTCTGTCGCCAGTGCCCTGGGAACCACTACCACAGTGCACTGAGGGCAACACAGCCCTCATCCGGGTGTGTGATGTCTCTCCCCCGTCACTGTGTGGGATCTGCACCATGTGAGTGTACAGATCTAATGTGAAGGAGGGGCACTGGCTTCCCTGCAGATGCCCTGACGCTGCCGTCTGAAGTTCCTGCATGGAGGGTGGAGTGATTTCCTCTTACAGGACACAACGCTGTAGTCTGATTCTCAGATCTGTGTCCTGGAGAGGTGGAGGACAGTGAACTCTACACAGGAAGAAGGGCTGGTCTTGCATCCTCTGTCCATGTGCACATATACACGGGTGCACAGAAAGAGACAGACCCCAGTGCATGCCCAGGAAGTAATTTGGGGAAGAGCAGCCAGCAGAGCAATGAGGACATTTCCTGCATGCTTTCTGACCTCAACACCACCCCACATATCTATGGCATCCACCATGGGCCTCCCAAGGCAGCTGAGCCAGGAGAGGGCAGAGGGCAAGCTGGCTTCCTGTATTCCTTTCTTACTGATTTGATCCTGACCTTCTAGAGTCATGAACACACTTGTAAACTCTGATGCCAGCTGTGGAGATGCAGATGTGAATGCATCTCCTGCACGGAGGGTCTCATAGACCCAAGTTCCATAAAGGGCTCAGGCTAACGTTTTGGCTCCTGGTATTGTGAGTCTGTGAAGGAAATCACAGTATTGGCTCTAGGCACTTCCTTGGGATTCTTCAAAGGACTGACTTTCCGCCCATCTGGGATGTTTTGTTGTTTTTCCTATGACTTCTGAGTGTCCCTGGCCGATGTGAGCCACTCTGATAGCCTCGGCAGACCAGGGTGAGAGCTCCCACTACTTCAGCCTCAGGGTCTGCACATTTTGGTGGGGAAAGGAGCTGAGATTCAGAGTGCTCTGCCATGTGAGTACCCTCAGCTCTTGTCTCTAAGCAGCAGCATGCTTTTGATACCCGACGGCCCCCAGGAACCTTGCAGGATCCCAACCCTAAAGTGGATGCCTAAAGTAGTTTCTTGGCTCACACCCTCAGGAGCAGGAACCCACATTTCAGCTATCAACTTCTCTGTGCCCAGAAGGAAGAGAAAACATGCTTATAGATGAAGTAAAAGACCACAGAGGGTCCTGGGAGCACTCAGTCTGCCCAAGGCTCATACAACCTTCTGCTGCTGCACCCTGAAGATGGAGAAGATGGTAGGGTGCTGTCTCCTAGGGAGGAAGAACCATTGCAGGGTTCCTTTCTTCTGGACTCTTCCCTGCCCCCTCCACCCCATCTAAGGAAAAGCCTTCTCTCCATCTCAGTGTAGCTCCTACTACCTGTTCTGCACACCATGCTTGATCTTTGCCATCCGTCCCCCAACTGGGGGGCTGGCCCCTATGTGCTGACTTGGAGACAGAGTAGAGAACGAACTCCTTTGCTGAGGGACAGGAGGTGGGAGCCACAGCAGGGGTCCTGGCATCAGGATATGGGAGCTGCTTCCTTGACCACAGCTGATGACTGCCCAGGGGAAACTGGTCTCCTGAGTGAGGAAGTGATGGCATCCTGGGGAAATGGGAGAGGAAGCCAGGCTGCTGCTAGAGTCCCTCACTCTCCACATCAGACACATGTGCTGCAGGAGAGCCGGAGCTGGGCTCCCATGTGCCTTCTGCTGCGGGGCTTTGGAGACCCAGAGCCTTCTTTGTCATGGAGGTGTCCTCAGAACACAGCCTGTGATGTGACTTGGCATGTCCAGGGCTGTACCAAGGCCCGTGGAGCCCTAAAAATACTCTGAAATCCTTAGACACTGGGCATGGCATCTGGCTTCTACTGGGGTGGGGCAGGTGTAATATGGGCCCAAGGCTAGGTGCCAGAATACCACTGAGCTGCAGGAGGGACAATGGCACTGAAAGTTTGTAAGTGTATGTGAAGCTAATGAGGTCCTTGTGTCTAGACGGCATGAGGGGTTCAAGGGACAAAGACCTGGCAAACATCCAAGACTCATTGGGTAATTTCCTACCAACCTGTGTCCTGGGGCCTTTTTAAGGACCATGTGGCTGAGGGAGGTGGTCTCTGCCTAGGAGAGGAGGAGCTAGGCAGTGTGGCCAGGGAGAAGAGCTACCTGCCACCCCAAAGGAACCCGAGGAACAAGCACCAGGAATGCCTTGGCTACCTTCACTTGCAAGGACAGCCCGGAAACAGCCTGTTTGCATTATCCTGTCTCTTGCCTGGGCTGCCTGCCATGCTGAGAGCTATTCTGAGCTTTGGTGAGGAGGAAATGGCTGCCTAGCCTTTTTCCACCTGTGAGACCCAAGATTGAAGGTCCTGGCTGGTTGCCAGCCCGTGGAGAAATTGCCTCAGAGGGTTTTGTGCTTCGTCAGTGGTTCAAAGGCATCAAAAGCGCTGAAGATGAGGGAAAGGGTTGAGGGTCTCTGGGGACTACTGGAGTGAGAGTCAGGAGGGCTGTCTCTTTTGTGGTAGAGGACCATGGGTAGGCAATCTACTGACCCTCATACACGGCAGAAGAGCAGCTTATGAGTGACCTCCTGGGACAAGTTAAGATCCAGTGCTAGCATTTCTCAGGACAGAGCCCTCAGGGAAATACTTACTGGGAGCGGTTAGCATGTTGGCTCTGCCGGAGGTGTGCACCTGAAGCTCCGAGTGGCTGACTCGGAAGTCAGGGCCATCAGGTGCGCCTGGGTCATCCGTTTGGCCTGCAGGGGAGGAAGCAATTTCTGCCAACACCTCCAGATCCTTCAAGACAACCTGGGGAGACAAGCGGAGGATGAAGGACAAACTCCCTACTGTGAGCTGAGCTGATGTAGCAGAGGTGACATCAGAGATAAGGAGTGTCTTGTAGGGCAGGGAGGGGCCAGCAGGCCAAGTGCTGCTCGCCTATTGCCGTGAAAGGGCTTGGGCAAATGTTGTGAAGGCATGGATTAAGAGGCCACTGAGGGTGATGCCTAGGAAAGGAAGCTCATCAGTGTGGTATTGTGTTCCCAAAAATATCGTGCATGCTAATAAACTTATCTGGGGTCAGAGACAGAGCAGTCACAATATTAAACATAGAGGATAGGCAGTGGTAGCACACGCCTTTAATCCTAGCATTCCAGAGGCAGAAATCCATGTGTTCAAGGATACAGCCAAGCCTGGTGACTCACGCCTTTAATCCCAGGGAGTGGTGGTAGAAAGCAGAAAGGTATATAAGGCGTGGAGACCAGAAACTAGAAGCATTTGACTGGTTAAGCATTTGGCTGGTTAAGCTTTCAGGCTTCTAGCAGCAGTTCAGCTGAGAGCCATTGGGATGAGGACACAGATGCATCCAGTCTGAGGAAACAAGACCAGCTGAGAAGTTGGCCAGGTGAGGTTAGCTGTGGCTTGTTCTGTCTCTCTGATCTTCCAGCGTTCACCCCAATAACTGGCCTCAGGTTTGATTTTAATAAGAACTTTGAAGATTCCTGCTACACATCAGACTGGAGAATCTTCTTCCTGCAGCCCTCCTCTTTGATTCTGAACAAGGACTGGAGGGGGCTCCTTGAGAGGCAGGTCCTGGGCATCAGGATGAACCATACACAGAATGTATCTCATGGCCTCTGTATTGTATGAGGCCTGGTCCTGCCCTTCCTTGTCCGAGAACAGATGTCACTGCTCACAGAGGTGAGCACCAGGCCACACAGAACCCAAAGGCTCCTCTACACTTGGGGTGTGATTTTGGTTTCCAGTGCTAAAAGGCTTTCTAACATCCAGACAGGCATGTCTCCCAAGTGTTCCCACTCAGTTCTGGATGGGGGCAAGGCCTCTTCAGCTGCCTACCTGCCTACTGAACTCTTCCAGGGAGAGGCAGAATACAAGTGCAAGTTATGCTAGGCCATGTGACCCTCTTTCCCCTAGGGCTGCCTCTGAAGTGCCCATAGCCCCGGAACTGCATCATTTCACTTGGCACCAGAGCTGCAGGACGGCAGAGTCCATCCCATTGTGGCATTATACAGTGGGGACATGCCCCGCTGGGGATGCATCACCATGGATGCATGCCCCTTGTATAAGTGTCATCAGTCCCAAGCCCTGTGTTCTACACCCCCCACATGGAGCTTCTCCCACCGCAGGCCTGCCAGCTCTACCTGCTCCCTACTCATCAGTTCTTAGGAAGGCCTGCCTCAGCCTCACTCACAGGTACATCCTTGGGACTAACCCTGGCACCCAGCACATGCTCAGCAAACATGGGCCCGCGCCGCCGGCGCTGGGGACAACTGTGTCTTCATTGTGCTACCTTGAACCCAGATCAAGAATTAATCATTGGGTGGCATGGGAAGAGGAGGGGGAAATAAAAAGAACCATGGTAGGGAAGGGGACCAGGGGAAAAGCTGCAGAGCTCTGTGGGTGGGGCCCTGAGAGGTTAGCTGGGTAGAATATGGTAAATACAAGGTCAAGATCAGGCTAAGATGGGGGGTCCTTTTGGGGTGATGAAATGTTCTGGAATCAGATAGTGAAGATGGCTACAAAACCCTGTAAGTACAAATGCTCAACTGAAGATGGGGTCATGTCCTAACATACACACCGCAATTTGAAAATGTCATAGTCCATATACCCAATCCATGAATACTGGGGTTCACAACACAGTACACTGGAGACAACAAGCTGCTTCCCTTCAAGATCACAAGGCTCACTGGGAGCTGCCCATCATCAGAGTACAAAGTGTGGTGCACACCTGTGATCCCAGCACTTAGGAGGGAGAGGTTTGGGGAGGTGGCTCAGTGGGTCAGATGCTTGTCCTTCCAGCAAGAGGACCGCAGCTGGGACCTCCAGCATCCATGTAAGAAGTAAGGCACAGTGGCCCGTGGCTGTAACCACAGAGCTGGAGTGGAGGAGACAGGCAAATCCGGGGCCCTGCTGGCCAGCCAGTCTAGCTGAAATGCTGAGCTCCAGGTTCAGCGAGAGACTCTGTCTCAAAAAAGGTCAAGAGGACAGGCTCGATGGCTTAGCAGGGAAACCACTTGTCATCAAACCTGCTGATCTGAGATCAATTCCCAGAACTCACAAGGTGGAAGGAAAGGACCAGTTACTACAAGTTGCGCTCTGATCTTCACTTACATACACATGCCACGACACGTGTGTGTTTAACAACGGAAAGCACACGGTCTCTGAAATGTGAAAGTGGTTCTATGAGTTCATACCCTATGCTAGGTGGTTGTCACTTTTCTTAGTTTCTGCTTGACCAGCTTTCCTGTACCATTGCTGAGGCTCCCTCTGCCTGCTCACCCTTTCTGGCCTCTTGGTCTTCTCTAAGCTGTATCACATGTTTGGCACATGATCTTAACACCTTGCCTGCACCTTGACTTCCTCTAGGTTGGTCACGGCGTCACTCACACAGATACCACCTCTATTGTTCTCCCACCACAGGCCCTGAGACGGTCTTTAGGTCTATATGAGCTCTAGGCCTGTATCAGAGCTGCACTAAACACTGGGTTGTAAGAGGCAGTCAAAGCCACCCTTGCTTATGGCTGTGGGCACAAGAAGCCACAAAGCGATGGCCCTTGCCAGGAGCTTCTTGTCTGCCTGTCCTTTGGTGCACCGGAATTTGGGTTTTACTTGCTTTTGGAATAGGTTGGTTGTTGAATTGTGGGAAATGGATCTGCAGTGGCTGGAAAACATGGCCCCTACTCTGCCCAGCCCTGTCAGAGGGCAGGAACAAGAGCTAGCACTGTGCCAGGCCAAGAGCCAGAGGAACCTAGGTGGGTTTGGGTTGCAGGCCTAGGCCTCTGTTTTCTGAAAGGAGGAGTCTCCAGCAGGCTCTCCTCTAGGACTGGAAGAGACAGAGGGAGGAGGGTGTGGCAGGGAAGCAGATGGCACAGTTATGAAGAGTTTTGAAAGAGAAGCAGACCCTAGCCCCCATCATTCTCTGGAACTCCATTTCATAAGCAAGGCCCTTCCCAAAGGTCAGGAATGGGGAACTAGATCAGGGACTTGGAGTTGGGGACAGTGTGGGGTGACTCACCCAAAACTAAACAGCAAGACAAGAATCAAGCCAAGAGTTTTACAATAATCAGAGTTTCCATAGGGGCACTCCCACCCCAAGGTGTTACTAAGAGAACTGCAAACATATGTTCACACAGATACTTCTATGTGAACACCCCGACTAGCTGAACAATGGAAAGTCCCTCTTGATAAACGGAATGTGGTATATCCATTCCACAGAAAATGACCTGGTCATGAAAAGAAATGAGGAGGGGGCTTGGCTCAGGGGGTAAAAGCACTTGCTGCACAAACTGATAAGCTGTCGGGCACACTTGCAGTCCAGTGCTTCTGTAGTGAGGTGGGAGACAGAGATGGCCTGGCATGTGCTGTGATCAGGAGAAACAACAGATCCTGGCCAATAAAATAGAGGGTAAGAACTGACTCCTGAAAGCCATCCTTGACTATGGCATGTGTACACACCACACACACAAATTTAAAAAAAAAAAAAAAAAAAAAAAAAAAGAGGATACTGGCCTATGTAGCAATAGGAAGAGCCTCATAAATACTTGCTAAGTTAAAGAAGGTAGGTACACAAGGCTACCAACTACAGTGACTACATGAAATACCTAGAAGAGACAAATCTGAAAAGATGAAGGTTCATTTGTGGTCACCAGTAGTTAGGGTCGAGACTGCTAATGGGCATAGTTACTTTCTGGGGTGAAGGGTTTGGGGATGAAGTGTCTTGGAATTAGGCAGTAGCAATGGTTGTGCAATCTGCTGAAAGCATTTTAAAAACTGCTCAGTTTTGGTATATGAACTGAATGGAAAACATGAGAACTAAACCCAAATTTCAAACTGGCACCCTAATTCCCAGTCATGCGGCATTTTTAGAGAATTCACTTTCTTTTACCGCTGCCCAAGTGGCAGTTCTTTCTAATGCCCTATGATCTGACAATTGATTCAGACTCAGGAGAGATAAAAAAGAGGGGGAATTCACTCTAGTCTGCTTCTAGCAATTTGCTTCTACAAGTCATGCTGCTCCTCTCAGATCTGTCTGTGCAGGTGGACAGGGGCAAATGCCCTCTGAGCAACAAATCCTGGAGGTCAAATGTTCTGAGTGAGAAAAAGTACAGGCAAGCAAGGCTGACTGAGGACATGGTATGATTATACCAGGCCAGCTCTGGCAAGATCCCTGACACCAGGTACACGACCCACTAGATGTCCAACATTCACTTTTTTTCCATCTGAAGAGATGCCTAGGAAGAACCAGTAGCATGCAAGAAGAATGGTACAAAGTTATGTCTCCTGGAGCAGCCTAAGAACCAGGCTACAAGGGACGAGGAGGTCAGAGGAGCATGCTGTATTTGCCTCTGGCCAGAATTAACACTCTCAGTCACCATCAATGTCACCTTACACTCTTACATGAGGAATCTGAGATTTGTACAGTCACTAGCTCAAGATAAAGAGTGCCTGCTTTATACCCAGCTCTGGTCCTTAAACCCAAGCTTGTTAATAAAACTAATCAGGGCTTTGTGGTCAGACATTCCAGACTTCCAACCCCCATCCTAGACCAGTTAATGTCATCCAATGCAGCTCTCCTCTCCCTAATGCCTACTGAGTAGCTACTATTGTTCTGTTCTGACTATAGGAGACATAGGGCTAGACAGGACAGGCTCGGACTGAATCATAGGCTATAGGATGCAAAATTAAACATTTACTGAAAGAGAACCTCTGGGCCTCAGGATCCAGCAACTTGGTCTGAGGGGAGCCAGGAGCCTTTGGAAGCACTTGAACATGCATCCACCAAGGACGTG